ACAGATGGATAGAAGTGTATTTGTGTTTTTATTTCCTCTAAACTATGTTCATCTGATATCAAGCCATTGCCAAACCACCATCTAGTTCTAGTTTCAGCATGATTACCCAAAGCCAGCTGTAAAATAAGGGGGCTGTGGTCAGATAATAGTGTTGGTTCATTATTACAGTTATTTGTTGATTGTGTTAGTTATGCATCTATCAGGAAATATTCTATTCTTGTATACAGTATGTTTGGTGAACGGGTGAGTAGGAATATTGACGAGTATTAGGGTTGATTGTTCTCCATTAATCTACAATTTTCTTCCATTTTTCCGCCTTCATCGAGTACAGACTCCTGCTCTGACCGCTTGCGCTATCTTGTTTTTGTCTTTTTCCTGGGAGTTTTGCTGCAGTCAACTCTAACAAGAATTATGGATATCATTAACTGGTCCCTCAATGCAATTGATACTATTTTTTCAACACGTAAGGGAGGACCGGGAGAAGCCTCCTGCCCCGATGGGACGGACCCTGCGGGTTACACCTACGACAGCTGGGGCAAGTGGAACCCGTTATGTCTGTCGCCTCTGTCTATCAAAGATTCGGAAGACGTCTATATCTTTGGATTTCTGGCAGTTAGAATTCTCCTTTTTGGGCTCGGAGCGTTCCTGTTCTGCTGTAAATTTGGAGGCATGGCTTCTCATGATATTTACGAGAAGCTGTCAAACGAAATTGAAGAAAGATACAAGGAGTTGACCCGTGTGGTGGTTTAGAGCGCTGTGGGAGCACAGCGGAGAGTGCTACAGGTCGAACATTTGCTTAAAGGTACACTGTGTAATTTCTAGTGCCTCTAGCGCTGAGATCTTATATTGCAGTCTCATATATTGAGATTTGAGTACCGGTGCCTGTAGAGTTAAGGAGACTTTTGCCTATACTGTTTGACATTGCTCCTCAACTCTCAGTCTTTCACCAGACTGACAAGGAAAGAAGTTTGATAAATGACCGGATATCTCCAAATGTCTCGGGCACTTGACAGACGCGTGGAGCCAACATGTAAACAAGACCTGTGTGAGGTTAAAACTGTGGTGATCAAAGAAGCAGGAGATATACACAGCAGCAGCAGGACATGGCAAAGCTCATGTTAGCATTAGCGTTAGCCACGGCGCCCTATCTGCATCACCAGGTAAGAAAAACAGAACATTCACTCTAGCTGCTGATACATTATTCTGGCGATCGTTTTGTGGGGATTCTGTGTGTTTTATTTGATGCTTGTCCCTGAATAAGTTTAGTTGAAACTTGTGACATAGTAGTTGGACTGCGCTTGGATCGGGTCAGAACATCCTGAGACTGTGTTGCAGATTCTCGTACTTATTGTCAGTGTGAAAAAGTTACGTATTGTTCACGTTTGAGTCTGTTGTGTACAAAATACACGATGTACCTCCTGTTGTTAACGCTGTCTTTGTGCGTGTGGTTTGCGATGTTGACACTTCGCTGCTATGACGCTGGACTTCTACATAATTATTTATCTAAAAGATTGTTGTTCCGATCGTTCTTTTACATAACTGTGGTCCTCTGTGGTTCTTTTATATAACTGTGGTCCTCCATGGTTCCTTCTTCCAAATTGTGAAGGCACGGTGAAATCAATATCAGTAGCTTATGTAAAACGAAAACGTGTTTCTCGCTTTTTGTCCTTATCCAACACCGGTTTTCAAGATGGCGCTTTTACACGGATAGTCCTCCTCTCTCATGGACACTTATAAGTTCAATTCTAAGCCTATGAATACAATTAAAAAAACATGGTGGAGGTAAATATTCTTAAAAAGGTCACATTTGTTATTAGTTAACATGTTTTTTCACATGGAGCAGCTGTAAAAATTACACAGGGTGGCTTTAAAGATCTTGCAATGCGATCTCTGGATGGACATAAAACGATCGAGATGAATTTGAACGAGATTGTGTGCCAGAGCTGAACTCTCTGACCCTATATGGAAAGGCCCTGTGTACGGAGGTTACGGAGGGCACCAGAAATTCAGTTCAATTGGATCTATAGCATATTTGCCAGTGTTTTGATCTGCTACATTGCTCACATAAATTGTCCCTTTTGGCAAATGTATTTTTCTCCGCGTCTGCGGCTCCTCTCCTAATCTTTCCACATTCCATTGGCCAAGGCCGAAGTTGATAACAGGACTTTACAACAAGCTCACACTCCACAGCTACCCAGCTCTGGACTGCCTCTGGACTGCCTCTGGACAATTGTGCGTAATGGAAGCCAAAAGACGCTCTCGAAGCTGCAATGAATTTACACTCATAAAAAACTAACTTTGACATTTAAAAAAGAAAAACACACATAGATTAGTAACTTATAAGTACCAATAATAAAAAATATCGTTTTTATGATGATTAAATGTAAGTAAAGATATTTGGCACAATTTGGCACACTTGTACCAAATTGTGCCAAATGTGCACTACTTGATGAAAAGGAGAAACTGCATAAAAACTATAAAACTTAGAAGTCTGAAACTTTAGACAGTTGTTGTCAACAACACAATGAACAGAGGGTTTGAATATTGTGAACTTACAATGAAGTCTGCCTTTTTTAGGGCCTTTAGAAATTGAAAATGTTAGGCGAGGCTAAAAAAATTGTTTTTTTTTCCCTAACTTCAAAGGATGCAGAGGAAAATAGGAATGACAAACATTAGTGTTTTTTTACATAAACTAGAAGGCTCTAGCTTTAAAATGATGCATCACACAAGCATGTGAGATGTAAGATGTGTTTTTAAATAAGCAAAGACATTTGGGTATGCCCAACTTTTGTGCACGAGCCAAAATGAGGCGGGTTTTAAGAGGTTAGAAAACAAAGAAGAGATGAAATGTTCATTGTTTATATTTGGAGCGTACACATTCACAATAGTTATGGGTTGTCTCCTGTAGTTTTCCGTAGCACTTTTGGAGTGTTTTGTGCGCGCCCTCTATGGCTGTGAGTCTATCACAAACTGCTCAAAGCTCGTGCCATTTCCCAGTGTGTTTCCATCGATTCCGCTTGTTTTGCAGTGTATCTATGTCTGCTTTTGTTCCTGCACGTAGCATAGTGATGTCCACTCTGATTTTGTCATGCATGGCGACGATCTCCGTTCTTATATCCGCCATCATGTCCATTTTCAGAGAAAGCAGCGTTTCATTTTATGTTGCTTTTCATCGTTAGATTGTTTGATGGAGGTATCCGTGCAAAGTACTGTTGTATGAAAATCAATGTATAGACCCAGGATTTGGTGTTTTTTCGCAAATTGTGTTCTTCCTAGGTTTTCACGCCATGAGACCGGAAGCGGAAGTCTCCCAAAACACATTATTCTCTTTCAGCCATGCATGTGTTTTTATGTTTTTGAGTGTCTGCCCCTCTGTGTATGTATGTGTCTCTGTGTGTATGTGTTATGCGTATGCATGTGAATGTGCAACTTGTGCGTGTTTATGTGGCCCATTCACAAAAGTGTGACATCACCAGCCCTTCGGTATAAATGAGGCCAAAAAATCACATCAGCAGGGGGCCGTCTCCCACTGGTTGTCATAGCGATGCAGTTGAAATAAGACGGGCACCATAGTAACCGGGAGCCAAGCATCTGTGATGCATCGGCTGTGTGAGGTGGTGTCAAACTCACACCAACACTGCTCCACAGATGGACTGTAAATACTGGACAACAACCTGGGCGAGTTAGCTCTAATCCTCCAGAGCCTGTGTGAGATAGCTCTAAGCTACATGGAGACTGTGTGAGTTAGCTCTAATCCTTTAGGGCCTGGATGAGTTAGCGCTAATCCTCCAGAGCCTGTGTGAGTTTGCCCTTATCCCCTAAAGCCTGTGTGAGTTGGCTCTAATCGTCTAGGGCCTGTGTGAGTTAGCTCTAAATCCCAAGGAGCCTGTGTGAGTTAGCTCTAATCATCTCTGGCCTGTGTGAGTTAGCTCTAATCCCCATGGAGCCTGTTTGAGTCAGCTGCATCAGCTGTTCTCACGCTTCACGAAGCTGACCCACTTTAGACTGGAGCGGCTTCTCCTGCAGCCCCTCCCCCAATGCCCACACTACTGGACCACAGACTCTATTACAGATGGAGAATGCTAACACGCTAGGTCAATGCTAACCCGCTAGGTCAATGCTAACCCGCTAGGTCAATGCTAACCCGCTAGGTCAATGCTAACCCGCTAGCTCAATGAAGGCCAATAAGGAAGTGCTCATGGTCAAGATTTGAAGTTCCAACCAGCTCTTGACTTACATATAAAAGTCTATAAAACTCTTCTAGACCTACAATACTTTGTGTCACAATCATCATTTTGGCCTTAAATGGGTGGTTTGGTGTTCTCTGTCATCCTGGAGTTTATACTGTGATATTGTCTCTGTAAATCCAGACGTAAACCATATAAGGGTTGATCAATCACATGACTTCATTCACAGGGGAAACTTAGGCCCTGTCTACACGTAGCAGGGCATTTATAAATCCGCCCTCCGCCTAAAAAAAAACTTCTGTCCACACAGCCTCGGTTTTTAAAAAAACGGCATCCACACCTAACCGCATACATGCGTTGTCAATTACATGTCAAACCTACAGGCGGCAGTAGTTCCCCAAATTCTATCCAATTACAGCTAGTCTCCGTCCTTGACGTCACTTCCGCAAAACATGAAACATGGCGCCAGGCTCGTTCGTGTGGACTGACAAGGAGGCAGAATTGCTCCTAAACGTACTTTTAGAGTACAAGGTCAACAAGACACAAGAAAACATTGATTGGGAATCTTGCCAAAACAAGTATGTGGACTTATTGACTCTATATTTGGAGCATTATCCCGCGGAGACCTCCAATGACTTTCCCCATGGAAACGGAGAGCTAACTCGGGCTATCCTGACAACAAAAATAAAGGCCATCAGGAGCAAATATCGCCAGGCAATTGACAGTGGACGCAAAAGCGGGTATGGCAGAGTCGTTCACCTTTATTTTGAGTTATGTGAACAAATATGGGGTGGGTCCCCCGCCACTACAACCATGTCGTCGGGCATTGAAACAAATGACTTGGATGATAGCCTCCCCGCTCCCTCGCCTTCTACGTCCGCTACTACGGAGCCATCTGATGCCGCGTCGGACACCGAGCAGGAGAGTGGGGCACACACAGTCAAACAGAGGAGAGATCTGCTACAGGTATGTTTTTGCATTGGTTAATTATAAACTATACGTTTTGTTTAGCAGTGTTTGTAAAATGGAAAAAAAAATATTACTTGTTGGTAAAACGGGTCATAATAAAGTCAAACGTTTTACAAGATTTCCTTTGGTCACTTCTGTTATTTTTTTATTTAGGCTAAACTGAATGGACACCGTCATGACCGTCTCAAGAGGAAGCTGCCAGCTGAGACCCAGTGGCTTAATGCACTAGAAGAGGACCAACGCGTAAAGAAGAAATTGGTGGACATTATGGAAAACTCAGAAAAAAAAGCAAATGACAATTTTGCAAAAATTACAAATACACTCAACATACTCACTACTTCCATTGCTGACGGGTTTTCTCTTCTAAGACAAGTCATGCAGCCACCTCCTACACAACCATTACATTACATGCCACATGAAGCAAGAGGGCACATTTCACCCACACCATCTCTGCAATCAATCCACCCAAATCAACCATTTCAGTCTTTCACAAACAACTCACCTTCTCTTAGAGCAACACAACAAAATGCAAACAGATCCATCAACACACACGATGCAGCACATTCCAACACACCTACTGACAGCACAGGGTTTATTGGGTTTTCCTATACCAAAGCCCTATTCAATGAGGATTAATAAGCTGTCAGCACCTGTTAACAGGCATAAGCCCTTTTCAATGATTACGTTCTTATTAATGTACAGGCATTAAGTTTAATGTGTAAAATGCCAAATGTTTATTTGTTGGCAAATAAGGCGGCACTCAAATCTTTTGAGGTTATTTTATTAACACTTTTATTTAAGCAGGGCATTTGAATGCTGTGATATGTTTGCACTGTTATATTTGCACTAAACTCAAAATACCTCTTTCTCAAAGTTTTATTATATACCTTTTTATTTTTATTTAAATATATATTTGTGTTGAAATGTTCAGTGACGAGCACAATTAATGCTTTTTCAAAAGACAATTAAACGACTTTGCTATGAAATGTGTGCAGTATCAATGCAACATATGAACATACTGCATAACGTAAAAACAGCAGCTTGCAAAATGATGCCACTCTACAAGGGTAACGTATTACAAAAGTAAAAAGTTAAAATACTGTACAATAGTCATTACAACTCAAGTAACGAGTTACAAGTGCATTTAAATGGTTTGTATTCATGTATGAATGAAAAAATGCCACAAAATATAGTAACAAATCAAGTTTAACACTAAGATGTGCAGTTGCGTGTAGGAAACGTCTAAACAAAACATGAGAGAATGAGCAGAATGAAAGAAAAATAAATCTTTGACTGCACTTTTCTTCAGTAGCATCAGTACTATTGTCAGTTTAGATTTTGCCAAAAGAAACTCAAAGTAGTCTAACTCGGCTACATTTTTTAAACAGAAATATGTAAAACAAACATAATTTTTTTTAACTACAAACATAGTGTACTATTTTTCAGTAACTTGCCCAACACAGAGGCTGCCGTAGGCCATCAGTAGTCTTTCTACTTGTCCCTTTTATGGATCCAGGTACTGAGTGAGGACTCTCCTGACCCTCTTCCCTTCAGTTGTCAAACGGTCTCCTCTGACATCTGGTTCTGAGGCTGGCTGATAGTCTCTGTCATGCTGAACAGCTTCAGTAACATAGCTGTCATCTACTGGGTCTTTCAAAGCCTCACAGTAATTATGCAGCACGAAACATGAATAAATGACAAAGGGCAGATCGTGAAGATTTATGTCCATAGGTCTCCTCAAAGCTCCAAAACGGGCCTTCAGCCTTCCAAATGCACATTCTATGACCATGCGTGCTCTGCACAGAGATAGTCCAAAATACTGCTCCTGGACAGTGCTTCCTCCGTTTGCATACTCTTTCATTAGGTAAGGCAGTAAGGGGTACGCAGGGTCGCCCAAAATGTATACTGGGATGGGTGCTTCATTCTCAACAACTTGTTTAGGACATGGAGGTATTGTTCCACTTTTGAAAAAGTTATTGAGGGTCGAGTTGGCGAAAACACGAGCATCATGGACGCTTCCAGGCCATTTAACCACCACGTCCATGAAGCAGTATTTATAGTCACAAGTGGCCTGAATGTTTAAAGAAAAATTCCCCTTTCTGTTAATGTAATCTGTGGAATTAGCCGATGGTTGCTTAATTCCAATATGAGTGCCATCGACAGCACCTAAGCACTGGGGGAGGCCATGGGATTGTTCAAATTTCTCCACAAGTGTCTGCACCGCACATTCACTTTTTGGCAGCTGTATGAACTGGGGTCCCAAGTGCACAGTTATAGCTTTACAGACCTGCCTAACTATGTTTGAGACAACCTGCCTCGATAAACCAAATGCATTTGCCGTTTTTCGTAATCTTCCCTCGTCAGATAAATAGTACAGCGTGCAAGCAACTTTCTTGACGACACTGACCGGCGATCGCATGACAGTGGACTGTCCTTCTATGTGAGGAAGTAATAACTCCGACAACGACAGCAGTGAGGACCGTGACATTCTGAAATTGTCTCGCCATTCCTCCGGGAGGACGACTTCCATCTCAAAGTTCTCCCACCAGCTGGCAGTGCGTCCCGGTCTGACCCAAAATCGCCGTTGCCGTCTTTGACGAGGAACATGTCTTGGACGAGGGATGGTTATTTGGCGGAAAATAGCCGACCTTAAAGTGCTCCTTCGTCTGTGCTCTTCAATGTGAAGCAGTATTTGAGCTTGTAAAAACAAGCAAGCAAAAAGTGCCTGAACAATTGTTAAAACAAAAGCGGTTTTGATGGCCTCCATGTTGTTTCTGATGTAAACACAGGTCGCGCGTGTGACGTCAGAGCAGCACGCTGGTAGTGACGTACAGCCGAATACTCCGGTTATTTATGTCCACACTCAAACGCATAACCGGAGAATTCCCAAATCTTCACTTTGGCCGGAGTTTTCAGAAACCTTCGTTTTTATCGACAGAAAACTCCGGGTTTGTGTGGATGATAGGCCAGATCGTAGGAAAATATCTTCGGTTTGTGAGATACCCTGCTACGTGTAGACGGGGCCTTAAACTTTTGTTAGCAACACACCTCCCATGGCGTGGCCATTTATGGCACGAAGCAAATTCCATTGGAAAAATGCCCATAGAAGGAAACCAGCTCCAGCTAGCTTATATTCAAATCAGCTTTTTCAGCAATATGGTGATATCACACTGGAAGATGCCACACTATGGTGATTCATGAGTCTCACTCAGTCCTCTCCTCATACTTTTTATTTTACTGTGCGAAACACATTGAACTAAAATAACATGTTAAATTACTCTGACCTCGATGAGGAAGTCCCCCGTCCGCAGTCCGGCCTGCCAAGCCACACCGCCCTCGTCCACAGACTCCAGATACTGCAGCGCGGGGAAGGCAGGGGTTGGGGTGAACTCCTCTATCGGGGTGTCAGCTGAAGAAACAAGAACACAGGTCAGCAGACCAGAGAGAAATCAGAGAGAGAGAGACCAGAGATCAGAGAGAGATCAAAGAGAGAGACTAAAGAGATCAGAGATATTTCAGAGATAGACCTGAGAGAAACCAGATAGAGTGTCCTCTGAAATAATCACCATGGTGCACACAAGCCACAAGTCTTCTTGAAAATGACAGACAGGCTTCTACTCTGACAATGTTCAAATCCTGGTCAAAAACAGTTCTATTGAAGGATCAATTGGACAAAATAGAAAAAACATTGGAAAGATAAACTCATGTGTAGATGAAACCACTATAATTCAGTTTAACTTGGCAACCTTAAAGGTGCCAGATTACGCTTTTGACTTTTCTCTGCTTTAAAGTGATAGTCTGGAGTTTGTCAGAAAAAAGAGAGAGGTACATGATTGGAAAAAAATGACCCAAGCTCCCTCCCCCTTCTATTTCTGATTGGTCTTTAAGCCGCGCCTACTTTTCCGTGCACGCGCCAGCTCAATGGTCCAAGACGTGTGGAAGAGAGATTATGATTAAGGTTTTCAGAATTATCATGAAAAAGCGATCGCGGTAAACCCAGAAGTGGCTAGTAACATTAGTAGAACATTTAAAGAAGCTATACCCGATATTTTTTCTAAGTAGTTCATAAAAATGCTTTTTACTACATACAAGTTGTATCATAATACATCATTTAATTGAAAACTTGAGGTAATTGATTCAACTGTGTAAGAATTACAAGCAGTGAAAAGTGCTGAGTAGAGTCTGAGCGGGCCGCTCTTTCTCCTCCGCTCACAGAACGAGCAGTGACCAGCCTGCGTCCTCTAGCCTCTACAGCGCTGCTTAACACCAGGGCTTCGACTTCAAAATTCGAATATAATTCTAAAATAAAAAATGATGAACAAAATAATTGAATAAAAAAATGTGAACAAATATTAGACAACCCTTGTAATTCGAAATGTATTTAATGACTGCAAATAAAATAGTTAGCTCCCAAAGGTTTCACCGGGACGTGCTAGGCAGGTAACAGCTAAGCTAGCTAGTTGTTTCATGGTAACTTCCGGGTTTTTCGCAATCGCCTTTTGTCACATTGAAACAGTATTTTTGTCATGAAAACGTTAACAGCAAATTCTGAAATCATCCGTGCATGTGTGTTAAGGATGTATATGTGTACTGTATTGTCCGATTGACGTTTAATGGTGTTGATTGATAGATATGTATTTGTTTATTGAGCGTGGCTAGCTCCGCTAGCTCCGTTGGCTTCTCTACACAAGTGTGTAGTGACAGGCGCTGATAGCTTGTTGTACTTGCAGAGTAATGGCAGTATTTTACACACCTGAATTACAAACAGATGTTGCATTGGGGCTTCGGTCATTATTGGTTTGAGAGTTCTGTTATCAAGAAAAAATTATCGGAAGAACTGCTGCTGCTGTTTTGAGGAGCTCTATAACACATTATAATTAAATATTAGAATATATTCTAAGGTTTTAAATTAATACATTTGGACGCGAAACTAGCGGTATTCTTTTACTTATATATTGTGTTAGCAGTGCGTTGCTTTAGTGCCATTTCATCAGTGATTGTTGTACAGCTTACAAGAAGTTGCGCTAATGCTAATGTTAGCATATGTATCAGATCGCAAATAAAACTAGGTGGCTCTGTGTTATGAGAGCGTAGGGGAAATGAGAAGCCATTGAGCGAGTTGGGGGGCGGTGCTAAACATTCAAACATTGCAGAAACGGGTATAGCGCCTTTAAGGACATATTTGCAGGATCTGATTATGGATTTAGGTTAAGTTTATATTTGAGTTACTCATTGCTGATGTTCAGAATTCTTTGTTCACCCTTCATGTTACCCGTCTAGCAAAGTCACGGTGAAACCTTTGGGAACTAACTATTTTATATATATATATATATATATATATATATATATATATATATATATATATATATATATATATATATATATTTATAAAAATTTAAAATGGATAATGCTCATTACAGCTTCGAATATTAAGGGCCGTCTAATATTGAATATATACATTCAAATATATATATTAGGGCTGTCAAACAATAAACATGTTTTAGTTGATTAATCGTATAGTAATGGTGAGTTAACTCACGATTAATCGCATTTTTAACATTCTATTTCAAATCCACTCCAGTTGAAGTTAAATGAGATAATGAAGTTAAATCAAATATAATGACACATTGTAATTCATACCAAATGTACTTAAATCTGTTTGATTTGCTCACAACCTTTTACTTTTGGGCACAACCAACATGAGCTGTTAATGAAAGGGAAAATGTACGTACCCCAGCTTTAATTTAACGAGTTTAGTTTAGTTTCAGGAGGAGATACGGTTATGCACAGTTTGCAAAAGACAAGCACACAAAATGCAGAGAATAGCCGTGGCATGTACATATGGTCTAACCGTGGGTCCATTCGCCGTGTTGCAGCTGCCCCCGGGGTGTGCCCGGGAAAAATGATGGGAGGCGGACTTCAGTTCATACAGCAAACAACAGCCCCGCGGTCACGCGTGTATTCTTTTAAAACTTCAATTCCCAGAGGACCTACCTGCTCTGTTGCCATCTTTATTTATTTATACAGAGGCTACTCCACCTCTGCTGCTGTGACCTTTCCTGCTCCACCCACCTCAGCTGTTGCTTATTATTACTATTGTTAGCTTTTTAGAATGATCAATTTTGTTTTTACTTTTGCTGCTACTGGACACCTGCATTTCTACTACGGTACGGGGATCAATAAAGTATATCTATCTATTTCTTTGGCCTTCATACACATGCCAGTATTTTTTTCATTGATTCCTTCAAGCTTTAGTTAGAAAGCGCTCTTACTCTTTCACCCTCGAGAGGCAGCAAAACGCCCAGGTCCACATCTATGACGATTTCAGCATTGATGACAAATATGACGCACATAAGCCCGCTTTTTTATTTTCTATAAAATGGCCAGCGTATGTTTATGGTACGATCCCGCATTCACCACATGGAGCTATAATACTGCTTTTCTGCTTTTGTCAGTGCCTAAAAGTGTTTTGCTGTGTGCACACCAAACACGGCCAAAGCCTCCAAAGCGCTTCGGGGAGCGTCAGGAGATCCTGCGGTGCGTCACGCGCCTCCCAAGCAGGGAAACGCTTGAAGACGCGCTGCTTGTCCTCCATCAACTATGGAGGACTCATGGATCTATTATAGAACAAAGTGATTGTCCGTGCTCGTTCAGAACTGTATAACCCGGCGGACTATAACTACTGTGACAGAAATGAATGATTGTAGTGATTAGGTTGATGTCTAGGTAAAGTTATTTAAACTTTTCACAATAGTAAATATTTCCCTGCGCAACTTCTAGTACTTTCCCGCTTACGAGTTGATGTGTTTATTCAGTGGAAGTATGCAAAAGGCGGTGGAAGAGTCTGGGACACATACTATGCAAAGGAGAGCGGGAAGGAGCAGGAGAAGTTGAAGTAAAAACGCTCTCTTCCCACTTGTTTAGACGCACGTCCAGAACGCTCGGTGACAGCGTCTGTCGTCAATAAGCACAAGCGTCCAACGAGGCGCTTTGGCTGTGCCCGAAAAGCGTGCGGTCTGAACACGGCATTAGGATCATGTCCACTTGTAAATATGTGACACACTATTTGGCCCGAAGAGGAAGAATGCGGCTCAAGGATCTGCCTTTGTTTGAGTTAATCTGTTCATCTGCAACACTTCACCAAGACTGTTCCAGAACTACGGTTACCATGGAACTGGACTCAATTCCCACGATAAAAGACAATAACACGAAGCCCCGATCTGTAAGGACAGTGCTGCTAACTCGCCCTATAAGTCTGTGAACTAAATAATTAGGGTCTGATTCTGGATCAAGGATATACAGCTTGATGTGACGGATTGCCATTGTTTGAAAACGTTTTTTCTCAGGTCTGAAATGACTCTGTACCGGAGATAAACAACTCGCAGCGTGAGGTTACGTCACCATGCGGGCGGGGAGGCGGTCTTACAGGCATAGGAGCAGACTGCTCTCTGGATCACCTCGTTTGAGTGGAGGTGACATCACCTCTATGCAAGAGATGGCTATAATCTCACAAGTTTTGAGTGTTGTATGGTGTATCATATAAATAATTATCACACTTGTAAATAGGATGGGCTGTGAAACATGAAGAAGAGCGCAATATGGAACCTGTTGTATATGTATTATATAAATAATTGATGTTTTTTTTTTTTTGGCTCTGTTTCTTATGTTTTACGTTTTTTGCAGCTGTACTACAGAAGCAACCCCAGCATTATAGACAAACTGCTTCAGGAAGGGCATCAGGAGTACAGAGTTTTTTGCTTTTATAGTGGAATTTTGTAAAAAGTACAATAGTTAGAGATTCAATTTTTTTCCCCATTATCCCCAAGACCATAAATAACATTTCTATGCAGTGTAAAAAGTTGTTTATAGCATTTCATTGGGTTTTTTCAATACATTTTTGTTAAATTGATTTTCCGTTTGATTTTTTTCTTTGTCTTCATGATTCCATAATTTTTATATAATTCATATGACAGCTTTACAATATGAATATTCTAACACCCCAGGTTGTACTGAAAAAAACAAAGTATACTGCTTGACTCTGCATCAAAAGATGACTGTTTTATGAACAATTATACACAAAGAAAACCAGGCGAGGAAAGTTCCCCAAAATGACCCATGTGCATAGAGGGTTAAGCTGAGGTGCTGTGTTAAAGTGCTTTTTTCTATCTACCTACTTTACCTTTGTGAGCAAGTTTTCTCTGTAATGAGCCTTAAAACAAAGCTAACATACAAATATTAATATACATATTGTGAAATACCATTTTCAATGTAATATTGTAAATACATTACATTATTTGCACTATGGAAAACTCACTGTTACATTTAAGTTTGTAACAGAAAACTGAGTATTAAAGGATAGTGTTTTAAAGGAAGTTTTAAATAAATGTGTTTATGTGCACAAAAAGTTGGACTTTGTACCTTTTTTGGATATTTTTGTGGAGCATCTCCTGGTCCGGCCCACTTGAGATCAGATTAGGTTGTATGTGGCCCCCGGACCAAAATGAGTTTGACACCCCTGGTATATATTAACGGACAGAGTCACGCCTATCTCCGCTGTTCTAACTAATGGGCCAAAAAAATTGCTTTACTGGAGCTATCCAAAATGACCGCGAATGGTCCCGCCCACAAGAAAATTGTGAAAAAACGCACCTGCACCTGCATGTGTCAGCCGGCGCAGCTCAATTCATTTGAACGAGAGACTTCAAAAATAAAAGCAAGTAAACTAGAGTGGACCAAAAAAATGTACCCCCCTCAGTATTGACACACATGTGGAAAGGAGCTTTGGGCCAAGAGCCAACTTTTGGTCCATCCTGTAAAGACGTTTTCGAGAGGTCTGCCAATGCTATATCTTAGCATTGGCTAATTCTTCTTCTGGGTCCACCCCCATCGGCCCGGGGTGGTATTGCAAGCATGTCAGCGCACGTCATTTTGGCCACTTTTGAACTGGGACCCGCCCCCACTGGTGTGAATGCTGTGATGTACAGGAAACACGGCACAGAGATTACCCCTTAGCCAATCAGGACGCAGAACACATTATGCTGGTTCTTCCTTAGCCAATCAGGATGAACATTGCAAGTTCATATACAGTAAAAATCATGCTACAAATAAATCTGCAAGACCGCGAAAAGAGAACCGCTATTCATCTGAGGAGACTCCGATTCAGAATAAAGAATAAAAAATGTTTCCTGTACGGAAGTTTCTTATTTGGTGTTTGTATGTAATTTTTTTACTATCATGTTTTAGATTATAGATTAGACAGCGAGCCAGATCAGATATATCCCAATGAAAATAATGTTTTTGCACTTTATGATGTGAGAATTGTATACATGCATGTGTAAGAAAATTGAGCGGGGGATATCCCCCCCTAGGGCCATGGCTAGGGGGGGACTGATCCCCCCCATCCCCCCCTCTGGAGGAAACCCTGGTATTATATTATTGAGTCTATATTATTGATCTCAAGCGGTGACTTTTTTTGTTTTGACTACACGCGTAACCATGCTGCTGCTGCTGCCCAGAGACAGGAGGAGGCAGACACAAAATTTAGTTTTATTTAAACCAAATCCAGTTTAGCTGGAGCTAAATCGTCTAATCTTTTGTTTTTATTTTATAAGTTTTGTTTTAATGTTTTTACAAATTAATTTTCATTTTTATAGAGATTTTTCATAATTTAATTTCATGGCGTCTTTCAAGAAACCCAAGGACGAATAGATAATTAAACACACAGTACAAAAGTACGTAATACATATTTTAAAGTTTAAAAGGTTTTTTGAGATTTGAGTCTTGTTTTTTATTAAGAGAGTTTCTGGTCTTAAAATGTCATCATTAGTAATAATAAGTAATCTTTATTTATATAGCGCATGTTGGGAAGCCAAGAGCGCTCCAAAATTGTTCAGACTTTAGAGAGAAAAACAATCTCATTCACATACTGATATCTGTTGTTTTGAATTTGACTATAAGGTTGTGTTCCAGGACCAAGGGCACACACTGTACAGGGTCACTGGACTGCGGGAGTGGATACTGAGAGCTCAGACCACAGGAGCCCAGCAACGCCCACCCAGGCACAGGTCACAGATCAAAGAGCAAAGGAAAATGCCACCTCCTTGCCCCTCCCCACGCCACTCCAGAACTGAGTGGGTGTAAGTGACCGGGGTAGAGAGAGGTCTCTGGAGACGTGATGGTGGAGCATCAGGGAGAGACCTGAATGCGAGTTGAGAGTGTGTCCAGTTGGTTTACATCACCACAGTGTGACCTTTGAGACCTACAGGTGGTTCGAGGAGTCTGGAGACACAACCCCAAAATTCACACCCTACATACATCCACACACACTTAGACACACACACATACAAACATACACGCACTCACACATTCACATTTACATATAGATACATGAAAAAGCAGAACATGAGAAAAAAGCATTAAAAGTTTACTGTAATGTAAACACATTTTTAATTGTCTATCACTTGAGTCTCCATTTGAATCAGTATTTTTTGAGACCAGAAATGTTCATTTGAATTCTATATTGTCATGGACTTAATTGGCCTGTCTTGACATTTTTTGTTTTGATTTGTTGATTTTGTACTGTGAAGTAATTACATTGATTAGGATTAAGATCTGATAAAAACACAAATTAGAGAAGTAAACTGAATCATTGCGCTTGCTTTTGTCTGAGGGACATTAGCAACAGCATGAATAGATATTGTGTTAAAGTAGAATCAAAATGACTTAACCATAGAAAGTAACTACTGCATAACAAGCTGTGTACAGGAACTTAGCACTGCACCATTGACCAGAAGTGCGTCGCAAATGACCTGATGTGCGCTTCAAGTGAAAAGACTGTATCTGGAGATCCGATGTCCATCTGGAGAGACAAAACCATGGCTTGGACCCTACTGATGTCCAAGATGACATCTCTCGAAATATGACCTGACCTGATGATGACTGAGACTCACCCTCAGGGGACCCTGAGAGAGAAAAAAATGTAAAATCATACCATTGATGAGTGCTACATGAGAGAGATACTCATGATTCTTTCTTTTGTTTTTGTTTGTCCCTAGCTTCTGGACATTTTTAGTCTGGGAGACTGAGCAACTGTTAAAATGTTGTAAAATGATAAAGTATGAGTATTGTAGTGTTTTAGTAGATGTTAAATAGTAGTAAAAAAGTAGAATTTGACTTCCTTTGTTTTTCAGAAACACATTTCAACGTAAGAGTTAAAATCATAACTGTACAATGTTATCCCTGATAGAGCAGCTAAAATATTAGAATCAGTATAATGTTAGAGACATTAAAAGTGACAGAAGTCACAAACTAGAAATATGCCTTGGCTCAAGCTGCAACCGAGCTTTGAAGTAGAAAAATAGAGTAAAAATAGAAATAGATAAAAGCATCAACCATAAAAGAGAATATTTCTAGCCATTGCTAATATTTGATTTGTAAAAGTAGCAATGCAAGATTACATTTTTTAAATTACCAAATCAGATTTAATTCAGCACAGTATTTTCCAGCTCAGTAAGAGGAATAAAACAGTTTTTGAATTATGAAAATCGGATTAGTGGTTATGATTTTATTACCGTATTGATAAGTGCTTTTAGGTGCTTATAGTGAAAGTAATTTGGTTTAAAACAAAGGGATACTGTGGAACCTTCTATTCAGCCAGTCAGCCTTTATTCATCTTCTAAGTGCTGTAACTTCCCTATTTTACTAACTATAAACATTAAAATTCACAGTAAAGAAGGAAACAATTCAGGGATGTTGAATTCGATATTCATTTTACAATTTGGCCGACCCCGATTCCAATATGGCCGCCAGCTTATCCAAGATGGCTGCCAACAGGAAATCCGGAAAACATTTTTTTCAAACTACTATGTAATATATCAAAATAAAGGTAATTGATGGAGCAATCTAAATATGATGCTTAGAAATGTTTTTGGCATATGCACACACACACACATGTTATTTATGAGACTAAAGTTACAGACCCCAGCTTTAAACATGTGTTATTTATGAGACTAAAGTTACAGACCCGAGCTTTAAACATGTTATTAATGAGACTAAAGTTACAGACCCGAGCTTTAAACATGTTATTAATGAGACTAAAGTGACAGACCCCAGCTTTAAACATGTGTTATTTATGAGACTAAAGTTACAGACCCGAGCTTTAAACATGTTATTAATGAGACTAAAGTTACAGACCCCAGCTTTAAACATGTTATTAATCAGACTAAAGTTACAGACCCGAGCTTTAAACATGTTATTAATGAGACTAAAGTTACAGACCCGAGCTTTAAACATGTTATTAATGAGACTAAAGTTACAGACCCGAGCTTTAAACATGTTATTAATGAGACTAAAGTTACAGACCCGAGCTTTATACATGTGTTATTTATGAGACTAAAGTTACAGACCCGAGCTTTAAACATGTTATTAATGAGACTAAAGTGACAGACCCCAGCTTTAAACATGTGTTATTTATGAGACTAAAGTTACAGACCCGAGCTTTAAACATGTTATTAATGAGACTAAAGTTACAGACCCCAGCTTTAAACATGTTATTAATGAGACTAAAGTTACAGACCCGAGCTTTAAACATGTTATTAATGAGACTAAAGTTACAGACCCGAGCTTTAAACATGTTATTTATGAGACTAAAGTTACAGACCCGAGCTTTAAACATGTTATTAATGAGACTAAAGTTACAGACCCGAGCTTTAAACATGTTATTAATGAGACTAAAGTTACAGACCCGAGCTTTAAACATGTGTTATTTATGAGACTAAAGTTACAGACCCGAGCTTTAAACATGTTATTAATGAGACTAAAGTTACAGACCCGAGCTTTAAACATGTGTTATTTATGAGACTAAAGTTACAGACCGGAGCTTTAAACATGTTATTAATGAGACTAAAGTTACAGACCGGAGCTTTAAACATGTTATTAATGAGACTAAAGTTACAGACCCGAGCTTTAAACATGTGTTATTTATGAGACTAAAGTTACAGACCCGAGCTTTAAACATGTTATTAATGAGACTAAAGTTACAGACCCCAGCTTTAAACATGTGTTATTTATGAGACTAAAGTTACAGACCCGAGCTTTAAACATGTTATTAATGAGACTAAAGTTACAGACCCGAGCTTTAAACATGTTATTAATGAGACTAAAGTTACAGACCTCAGCTTTAAACATGTTATTTATGAGACTAAAGTTACAGACCCGAGCTTTAAACATGTTATTAATGAGACTAAAGTTACAAACCTCAGCTTTAAAAAATTGTTATTTACGAGACTAAAGTTACAGACCTCAGCTTTAAGCATGTTATTTATGTGACTAAAGTTACAGACCCGAGCTTTAAACATGTTAACAACCCAAACACCCTTGTTAACATGTAAAATGGATTAGTCCAACCAATGGCATTGGTCTGTTTGGGCCACGTGACTCGCGTTTCTACCCCCCTGAAAAGTGGGCTCGCCCGGACTTGCCTGCCGCTTCCGAGTGTTTGATGAGCGCTGCGGTTTTTCAACTTTATTCACTGATCCGCGGGTCAAAACAACCGTGACATGATTCAAATATACCATCATTCTAAAGCTTATAATCTTAGATGTATGTGTGTGGTGTTGGTTTTCCAAAATCCCGGTTACTTACCGTGTATTTTGCTATTAAGTTCGTCGGATTATATCTCCGTAACTGCAACAGCTGGAGAGATGCCGTTTTCACCGTAATGCGCTGAGGACTAGCAAGATGGCGCCGTGTCAGGGCGCCGCAGTGAACGCTCTGGTGCGCACAATCTGTGTTTTGTTGTTTTTCGTCTGGGATTCACTTGCCACAGTGAAATATGATCGGCAAACACTTCTACACATTCGGGATCACGCGGGTGTCGGGTCACTCGTTTTACCTGAACTGAGGTGCACAAACTTCCTCGAGTGTCCCACTCGAGAGGCTGGTGGAGCACGGCAGGCGGGCCGCGGCGGTGGCCGCCAACAGAGCGAGGGGACGGGGCGTCTCCGGCGTTCTCTCCGCGGTGTGGAGCTGGGCACCTCGAGTCGGCGAAGGAGGCGCAGACACCGGGGAAGGCGAGGCGGTCTGCTCGTTCGTAGCCGCTCCTCCAGGACCCCTTTGCCCTCCATCTACCTGGCCAACGTCCAGTCTCTGCCCAACAAGACGGACGAGCTCCTGTGTCGGGTCCAGAGCCAGCGCGAGGCCCGAGACTGCGCTGTGTTCTGCCTCAGCGAGACGTGGCTCCACTCGAACGTCCCGGACTCTGCTGTTCAGCCCCCGGGATTCACCGCTCACCGCGCGGACAGAGTGAAGGAGACCACGGGCAAGGCCAGAGGCGGAGGTGTGTGCTTTTTAATTAATCAGCGCTGGTGCACTGACACTCGAATCGTGAACCAAACATGTACTGCCAATCTGGAATGCCTGGTCTTGAGCTGCCGCCCTTTTTATCTTCCCCGTGAGTTTTCAGTGATATTTTTATGTGCTGTTTACATTCACCCACGGGCGGATTACAAAGTAGCCCTACAGGATCTGAGCGAGATCCTTCACAAACATGAGTCTGCTCATCCTAACGCAGTCATCATTGTTGCTGGGGATTTCAATAAATGTAATTTAAAGACTGTACTCCCGAACTTTTACCAACATGTGACTCAAGCTACAAGAGGAGCACATGTTCTGGATCACTGCTACAGTAACGTGAAGGGAGCTTACAGGTCCAGTCTCAGACCTCCTTTTGGAAAGTCTGACCACTCCTCTGTTCTCCTTCTTCCTTCGTATACTCAGAGGAGCAGGGAACATAAACCAACCTCTCGCACTGTGCAGTGTTGGTCTGAGGAGGCTAGCATGAAGCTACAAGGTTGTTTTGATGCTACGGACTGGTCTGTGTTTCAGTCAGAGGACGTCAATGAATTCTGTGACGCGGTGTCTGGATACATACGCTTCTGTATTGACGGCTGTGTCCCACAGAAGGTCATTAAAGAACATTTTAGTCAAAACCCTTGGATGAACGCGGAAGTGAAACTGAAACTTCATGAGCGTGCGTTGGCGTTTCAATCAAATGATACAGTTGCTTATAAGCTATCCTGTTACTCATTGAAACGTTCTATTAAATCTGCAAAGCGCAGTTACGGGGACAGGTTAAAGAGTTATTTTGAGGAAGATGACCCTCGGCGCATGTGGAACGGTATTAAAGCCATCACATCGTGGAAACCTAGCGCTGGGAAAATTGCATCTGTCGGCCAAGCTCTGCCAAACGAGCTGAACACGTTCTACTGTCGCTTTGAATCCGCTGATGCCTGTCCTACTGTATTCCCTGAGTGTTTCAATCAAGGTACCTTCACCGTGACTCAGGAGGAAGTCAGGCGTGTCTTGTCCAGGACCACAGTCCGGAAAGCCCCAGGCCCGGACGGCATCCCTCCTCGTGTCCTGAAACTGTGCTCTGAGCAACTTGCTCCTGTGCTAACAGACATTTTCAACCTGTCGCTAAGGAACTGTACTGTGCCGAACTGCTTTAAAGAGTCGACCATCATTCCAGTTCCTAAGAAAACTCCTGTGACATGCCTGAATGACTATCGTCCTGTGGCCCTCACGTCTGTTCTTATGAAAACTTTTGAGCGGCTTGTGCTGGACTTCATTAAGAGCCAGATCCCTGTGAGTGTTGACCCGCTCCAGTTTGCTTACAGACAGAACAGGAGTGTGGAGGATGCCATCTCCTTTGCTCTGAACTCTGTCTACAGTCACTTGGACACTAGTAAATCTGTCGCGAGAATGCTTTTCATCGATTATAGCTCTGCTTTTAACTGCCTTGTCCCAGGTAAACTGATTGAAAAGCTCATGTCTCTCGGTTTAAGTGTTACCATGTGTAAATGGATTTTTAGCTTTTTAACTGACAGATCTCAGAGAGTAAAAATCAATGACTGTTTTTCTGATGTTGTTTCTGTGAGCACGGGTTCTCCTCAGGGATGTATTT